GAGCTCAGGGTCTTTCTACTCCGTCATCTTAGCCGATCTCCCCAAAACTATTATCTTTCTCTAAAAGTTAAATTCAACTTTAGTCACTCCGTAGAAAGAAGCCACGTTGTAGTGAGTTAAGTAAATAGACAATGAAGAAATAGAGTCAGCCGGTACAGATTATTCTAAGAAGCTTGGCTGTGAAAAAAAGAACAGATGAGCTAACGCTTGAAGGGGAGCTAAGTTTGAAGGAATATATATATATATATATATATATATATATATATATATATATTTAGGATGAGAAGATCTGAACATATTCTTAAGATGAAGAGAAGGAAATAATAGAGAGGGAGAGGATAAAAATGCAAGAGAGAGCCCTTAGCCCTCCCATGTTGTGGGAGAGGCTAGTGGGGGTAGGATCAAGATAATGGGCAGAACATAAAGTCTAATAGCAAACACCTCAACTAATAAATTAGGGTAAAAAATTTGATGCTGACATAAAAATATTCTAATTTGAACAGTCAAAAAGGAAAGGACCATAAAAATCTTGATATATCAGATCAGTTGGGACAGTTTCAAAGAACAGTAGGTCCCTCTATGACTGGAATGAACAGTTTTTGTCTTGGGTTGACAATGAGCATTAATAAGGGTGAGGAGATGGGTTTTGGGGGAGACATGGTAAGTTCAGTTTTATACAGAGTGAATCTGTAGTGGACATTCAGATGGAGATGCTCAGGAGGAACTGGGTTATTATTTAGCTTGTCTGCCTGTGGTGAGTATGTGGCATTGTACCCATTGGCAAACAAGTTAAATACTTGTCTCAACAAGTTTTAAAAACTGAAACACAAATTTTTGGCAACTATCTGCATTCAATTTCATTTTGATAGGTACAAGCTCCTTTACAGAAAGACTGTAAAGACTTTACAGAAAGGCTTTTTCCACAGCCATATTCCCAGCACTTATGCCAGTGTCAGGTGTACAGTAGGTATGTAATCAGAATTTATTGAATGACTACTGATTGAATCTTTTCTGTCATTTAAGCCAAAACCTACGTATCCTTATCTCCTCCCTCTTACTTCTCCCACAGATCCTATCAGTCACCAATCCTACTGATTTTCCCTCCAAAATATATCCTGATCCACTTCCTTCTCTCTTTTTTTAACTAGTGACGTTCTAGTTGAGGGTCTCATTATCTTCTGCCTGTACTAGCACAATAGATTCATATCTGATTTCTCTGTCTCCAGTCTTGCTTCCTTTACATCTAGCCTCTGCAGAGCAAAGTGCTTTTCTCTAAAATGTCCATCTGGGAAAATAAAAAAATCATTCCCCACTTAAAAGCCTTCTGTGCCTGCCCAGACTTCAAGTTCCCAACTTGACATACAAGACCTATTCACCATTGTCTCATCTTTTATCTTGCTTTGTCTTGCACTTTATTTTTATTTTTTTTCACAAAGTTCTTTTTTTTTTTTAAGTCTTTATTGAATTTGTTGCAATATTGCTTCTGTTTTTTTTTTTAATGTTTTGGTTTTTTGGCCCAGGGCATGTGGCATCTTAACTCCCTGACCAGAGACTGAACCTGCACCCCCTGCATTGGAAGGCGAAGTCTTAACCACTGGACCGCCAGGGAAGTCCCCTCCCACTTTATTTTGCATGAACAAACTGCACTCATGTCGCCCCATATACTACATTATATCATGCTATTTCCTCTGAATGGAATACTATTTCCATGTTTCTTCATTTGTCTGACTGTGACTCATTCTTTTAATTCGATTTGGATGTCAACTGCTGTAGTTCCCTCCTCCCCCCGCTCCTTCTTGTTTTTAAAAAATATTCATTCACAGTTATTTATTCTGTGGCTGGTGTATACCAGGCACTTTATTTCATTTTATTTTGCTTTTTATAAATTTATTTATTTCATTTATTTTATTTTTGGCTACATTGGGTCTTCGTTGCTGCACGAGGACTTTCTCTAGTCGTGGTGAGCGGGGGCTACTCTTCTTTGCGGTGCATGGGCTTCTCATTGTGGTGGCTTCTTTTGTTGTAGAGCATGAGCTCTAGGCACGTGGGCTTCAGTAGTTGTGGCTCGCGGGCCCAGTAGTTGTGGCTCGCAGACTCTAGAGCGCAGGCTCAGTAGTTGTGGCACACGGGCTTAGCTGCTCTGCGGCATGTGGGATCTTCCCAGGCCAGGGCTTGAACCCGTGTCCCCTGCATTGGCAGGCATATTATTAAACACTGTGCCGCCAGGGAAGCCCCTCAGGCACTTTACTAGGTGTTAGGGCTACAGAGGTAGATGAGGCAGACAAGTCTTTTGCCTAAAAACATTCTTGAAGGTTATAGAACCCTTCCCCCATACATGTGCTCCCCTAGTATCTTATGCTTATCTCACTTTTCTCATTAGTTATATAATACGAAATTTTCAGTTTATATTCATTTGACTAGCACATAGTTAAGTATTCAATAGACATCTCTGTAACTGAAAATATAAATCAATAGTTTTAACATCAACTGTATTTTAAATTTCTTTTTTTGTTATTCTTGGAATACCCCTCCTGCTCCTCCACTATCAACTGAGGATTGGACGACTCCTAAGGAACCTGGGTCCAGGGGGCCCCTATACTGTCCCACCCAAGCATCCGTGATGTGGAGAGATAGGTACCTAGCTAGGTACCCAGAAATATGGGAAGGTCATTGAAAGGGGACTTAGGAGCAAGGGGAGGATGGGAAGAAAAGAGAAAATATTAAATTGTCATAAGGAAAATGTATTTGCAGGGCTAGAAGGATGTAAGAAACAAAATTCCCCCAGTTAAAGAACACATAACTACAATGCATAAAATTCAAAACCTGAATTTAACTGCTGGTCTCAAGTATCTTCTTCTTAACTCAAGGCTGAAGATAGTCAATGGCAAAATGGTAATTATCTTGAAATACACGAAGTCATATAAGAGAAGGGTTAAAACCAGAAGAAAGAAGCAGAACCACTGGGTGGAAGCTATAAGGTCACAGCTTCCAATTTAATATAAGGTTGATATCAACAGACAGAGATGCTCAACAATGGAACTGGTTGCCTCATGAGGACAGAACCCTGCCATTGGAGATAAAACACAGATACATTTTGAGTGAGCTTCTTTAGCACACAGACTGTGATCCTAATGTTTGGCATGTAGAAGACATTAGAAAAATGTTTAAATGAATGAGGGAGGAATGGATGGGAGAGTGTAAATCAAATAAAAAAATCCCTTCCAGTTTTATAATTCTATGACAACATAAAAACCAAGTCACAGCTTCTTTCCCATTTCTCACCAGTCCCCTGGAGGAAGTGGTATTTACAGTTAGCCAGGGAAGGAAAAATAATGGACTCATCCCAGATAATCAGATTTAAAGATATTCCCAAGGGTGGCTGTTTTAGTTTTGCAAAGCTCCCTAACCCTATTCTACCTTCTTCCATAATTAATCTAAAGTGTATGCCAGCCTCAAAAACGCTAGTCCTCAATACATGGCATTAACTTCTTTCCACTGAAGGGATTGCCCATATAACACATATAATGGTGAGGGTGAAAAAAGGAAATAAAATGAAGTGAAACAGTTAACTGTCATCTCTCAGAGCATAGAATAATTAAGAATTTTGGGTGGAGCTAGTTGGCTCCCTTTTAATGTTAGCAGATTTATCCATTAAAGAGTTGACGCATAACGTACTTTAGTCATTAAAGATATACTCAAGCACTAGAAGGAAATATTTCAATAAATTATTTCTGGCAACTTCTGCCAAGCAATGAAACCCTATCATTTTTCCTTTCATGAGCAATTAGTGAGATAAAGTGCTGGAAAATACAGTGTGGGCTCTTTAAAGGAAATTATCATTTTTAGAGTCTCGAAGGAAACAGTACAGTAGTATTTGTAGTAGGGAGAAAACCTCCCTTCTTTGTGGATTTCCAAAAACCGAGTAGCAAATTATCATTTTCACAGGATGATCATAGACTAGAACTTCACTTATGCAGTCCCTTTTCTCTTTCACATATTTAAGCGATATAAGTACATATTCAGAGGATGGCTGCAGAAGTCCTGTGGCAGCTTCCATAATGAATGTCTAAAATATATAAGTTTAAATAAATATTTTGCAACCATATTTTGCATAGAATGTAAGTGGGAAAAAGGTTTTACTGGACGAGCTCAAGCTTTTGAATACTTGGGTCAGGTACTAGCCTAAAAAACACTGGTATAAATAAAGTTTTTTGTACTATTTATTTATGACCTCTGTTGCATGCACTTTTTAAGTCATGATGATGATTTTTCCTAGTACAGAGTAGCAGCTTAATAAATACTTTTAAAACATTTAAACTGTAATGTCCAGGCTCTCTTTCCCATTCCCTTATAACCAAAGTCATGGCTGGACACAGTGCTATTGTAGCCAAGGAAAAGATACTGTCTTTTAATATAGTTCAGACCCACAAAGACACATGCAGGCATATCACATACAGAAACATGTTCAATCTCCTTGCCCCTCTTTGTTTCTACAGCACCTTGTATGCACTGCCATCATTGCATTTATTACATTATGTCATTATTATTGGTTTACTAATTTATCACCTTTGAGCACCTTGATATAGGTACATTGTTATTCATCTTTGTCACCTAGTATTGAGGACAATGCCTGGCTCATAGAAGGTGCTCCAACTCAATGAGTTAAAGGACCTTCAGGATGAATCCTAATAAATGTACTCAACTATATGGTCAGCAGCAAAGAAAATTCCTTTGTTAACCTGACAGTTTTAAGTAAAAATTATTTCAACCAATCCACCCAAATTCTGTCTGTTTGAAACATGAAACTTACAGAACAAGAAGGAGCACATTAGCAATAATCTCACATGGAAAGTTTCTGCCTTTAAGAATTTACTGAGACTTTATTCACGCTACATTAACTTTATCTATTCACTGCTGTGGCAGATAAAAAAGAATAGGAAGTGGGCATGTGAATGGAGGATAGGCCTTCTGTTCAATGAAAAGCAAGCAAACAGGCTTACCTCTTCGGATTGCTCCCGGGTCTGTGCAGGTGAAGATCTTCTTCCCACTGTAAGTCGATGGCACGGATATGAAAGCCCTGATTCAGCAAGACACATCTGCAAAAAGTAGAATCCATCATTTGTAAACAAAATGAAGTCATATTTCACAAAAAAATTTTACTTTTCAGGTATTTTCTATTATTTCTGAAGCAAGATTAGAAAGTTCACTCTAGTAGCCTAGGCATTACATTCAAAGGAAGGCTCTGAAAATTTGAAAATTTTTCCATATACGGATGTTACAACAGCAAGGCTATTTTTCATTAGACAATAGACTGGAGCTCCAGGAAACTGTAACAAGCTTAAAGTAAAGCTAATCATATACACCTCCCCACCCCAGCATGTCTGTTACTTTTCTGATTAGTAGAATAACACCTCTATTTCCCAATTCCCAGGGCAATACTTTATAAATCTATTTTGAAGGGTACTTGGAAGAGTGTTTGTCGAAGACATTTAAAAAAAACAAACACATTTCTATACATGGTAACAATGTCATTTATGCTCTACTCAATATTAATCCACAATTTCAGATCATTATAGCTGATGAGTCTATAATATATGTAAAGCTCCTAGCACAGTACCTGGCACACAGACATTCAGTTTTATTACCATTATGATCTAAAACGCTAACCAAATTTAGCCAAAACAATGAAAGTAATATATATTTATTTCTATTGAATTTTATTTTGGGTCTGATATTAAATATTTTGAGATTTAAATTAAATTTAGGAAAATATGAATGCATGTCACTTTTGTCTGCATAAAAGAATTAAAACAATATTAAATAGCCAAAGGATGGTATTTTTCTTTGGTGTTAGTAAAATGACACACATTTAATGTAATGATGATATACAGTGAAGTTCCTTTTATTCTTATTAGAAATAAAATAGGGTATCCACTAGCACACTGAAAGCATTCGTTGTAACTTTGGGGGAGGTGTGAATTAAATTGATATATGAGGAAACCCAAATCTCTGTAAATTCATAGGGACCAGACACAATAATGGGTCAGTCCTAACTACAATTCAAACGTGTTATAGTTAGGCTAATTATCTGAAGACAAATACTGGAATGGAAAATGCAAATGTCACCTAAATATCCAGGTATTTTCAATCGTGTATGGTATGTGCTGTCGTATAGATTCTACAGATAAAAATCATGTGTTTTTTTATTGTTATCTTTCCTTTAGTCTCATTAGAGGTTTTTGTTTGTTTGCTTTTGCACCTAGATATTTTGGCATTGTACTTTACAAATGCTAAAAGGCCTGATTAGTAAAATAAATAAATAAAAGCAAAACTGCAATGACTGTCATTTCTACTCAATTATATCCATCAAAATAATTGTCATAATTAGCTCAATTTATTTCATTTCAGTACAAATAAAAGCAAAGCTAAGCTGGATAAGAAGCACAGGCAAAATTTCAAGACACGCTGCCTTCATTTTTTCATTTGAAAAAAGTTCTCCTCCCTCACTCTGAAATCCTCTGGTAATGAAATAGTAATGATGGTAAATGTCACTGACAATCAGAAGCAGTGTAGTGTAATGGAAAGAGAACTGGAAGAGCCAGAAAAATCTCAATTTAAGTACCACCTAGCTTCCTGATCTTGGAAAAGTCATTTCTCTGTTCTAAGCTAGAGTTCCCTCTTCTATTAATTGAGGTGAGTAATCCCTGCCCTAACTACCTCAATGGACTTTTGAAAGGGTTAAAAAGAATAAAGTAAGAAAAGATGGCTTTGAAACTATACTGAAATAGGCAGAAGAGCTGTTATCACTCCAATGGTCATTATTTTTAGGACCTGGCGAAGAGGAATGGTGATTAACTTCCACTGTCACTACCTTTGCATACAGAGCAATCGTAAATTAAAAGAGGACATATTTTAGGAGGAGCTGGAGGAAGGCGCTCACTAAAAGTACATGGTACTACAAATGGGCTGGCTCTTTAATGGGCTTGTCTCCACAGTTATCAATATTAACCTTCCCCATAGCTACTAAAATTCCTGAAGATAAGAGGACAGTGGCCAGCACTTTCTCCTTAGTCCATAGCTGAACAAGTAGGCCTCACTCTACACTGAGGAAATTAAAGGGTCAAGAATTTCTATGTGCCCGGCATTGATTAAATATAAGGCATAGTGTCTGTTTTAAGGGAACAGATATACCAGTCAGGGAGACAAGAGATACACATAGGAACAGAGACAGAAAAAGGAATACCAATGAGGCAAGCTGGGATTATATCACAGTCTCAGTAGAGCTGGGGAACCCTTGGAAGGGACAATAGTTACTTAGAGAGTGATTTCAAGAAGTTAGGGCTACAGTAAAGGTTTGCTGGGACTCATGACCAAAGCTGTAACAGATGTGAAGTCAGAAGGTGGAGGTTCCAGGCTGGCTAAAGCACTCAACGACAATGGGCAAAATCACTTAGAATTTCTGTACTTCAGTTTTCTTACTTAGAAAATGGTGTATTACAATTGTTCTATTTCTCTCACAGAGTTGGTATGAAGATCCAATAAGGTAATGTATGTGAAATCAAATGGTTATGTAATTGTAAATAACCAATATTATTATCATTGGAGTATTTATTTTGCAAGAAATTAGAAAAAGAAATTTCTAGGTTTGTTTGACTAGAAATTTGCAGGTTTGTTTGACTTTATAGTTGAAAATTTACATTTAGATTTACATACATCATATTAGTTAATTAACCTCTATATAATGGTAATCTTTCAATCACAAGATTGCTTTAACCTACTTTTTCACTAACCTCTTCCAATCCTTAAGTGTCCAGAAGATTATACCCCTAGGTGTGCGGCAAGTATGTAGAATTAAACAGTAAAATAAAGGAATCTTGACTTTATCCTATATTGAATTTTTGAACCCATTTTGAATCTCTGCATCTGCCATGATAGGAAGTCAAAGAATTAAGTCTAATATAGCCAGAAAAAACTGAATAAAGAGTTGAAAATAGATTTTGAAATGAGTCACAGTCCTTCACTGTACTAGGTTAATGCAGTTTTTCCCCAGAAAGTAACACTGTGAGTTATATTCTTTCGTTAACTACTTGAACTTGCATACTTAAACACATTGGTGGGGTGGAAAAATTTGTAAACTGGTAATCTCTAGGAACAGAAATACTCAATAAAGGCTTTCTATATAAAGAACAATGATCCCTATTTGAGCAAATGTCATAAATTTAAGCTTGAAATTATACTGGAAATAAACACAGATCTTGGCTATGTAATGAATAAGAATACAGATAATATTTGTAACTGAAAAGTGGAGAGGACAAAAAAACCTGTAAGTCTAGCTTAACACTGTAGAAGGTTCTATGAGGGCAAGAACGGGGCCTGTCTAGTTCTCTCCTAAGCTTATCATTAAGAAAATTGTTAACAATCCCTACAGTTGAGTGAAAAAAGAAAAATATCTCTGAGATTAAAATAAATGGCTCTAATGTACATGGAAATCAGATATGAGTATTATAAAACCTAAAAAATATAAATTGTAGGAGAGACACAGAATCAAAGAAATTCCATAAGACACTTATATACCTAAAATACCAAAATATAAGATTAAGTCTTATCTAAAATTCTTTCTCCGAAAACGTTGCCTTATATTTGTGTTTACAAAGGTTCTCATATTACAGAGTGCTCCCTCAAATAGTTTAATTTTAACTACAATAGACTGTTTGGGAAAAACAAATTAGCCTGAAATAACCCTTCCCCTCTCCTGTCAATGATGCTTCAGGTGCTTACAGAGCTCATCTGTCAGAATTGGTTAATAAAGGAGACAAGGATATTTAACACCAATTTCATGATTATTCTTAGAGGTATAATCTCACAACTGCAAGTGTTGGAAGTCCTTATAAATAAGCCTTTAAAAGATATTTTGGAAAATGTCTTGGGAAGATAATGAATATACACCTATAAGACAGGTGAAACTAAACAAATAAAAAACAAAAAAACCATCGCTGCCCTAATGATACATAATAGAGATAGTATTAGACCAGTACTTTCTCACAGGGTTGGGATAAGCCTGAGCTAATATGTGTAAAGCATTAAGAACAATGCCTAGCCCACAGCAGATGCTCAACAAACGCTCTTTTTGTTATTCTGTGAATGAGTACTTGTGGCTTGGGATAAAATGACCAGTGAGAACATAACACTGATTCAAAATAATGCTAAATTAATGAATTAATATGACAAGTATATATTCTACTACATTAACACAAAAAGCTTATATATTTTAAACTGTTCAACAAACTCCTCTTTACAAAAATAAGCGATTTTACGGTATTTACATTTTAAAAATAAGACCACATTTTTAAACATGATAGCCACTGTAAGCAAGAATTCAAGCTGATTCTTCTTGTCAGCTGATGACTGAAAGTGTAACAGGGAAGAACAAATGTGACTCCATACTGGATCTGTTTCTTTTACTTTAACCTCTGTATTCTAACTGCTTTTTCTACAAGTTAGGAATGTTGCCTATAGCCTGAAAATATACATGATAGCCCATTCTCAAGGCTCTGACCTTCAAAGGTATAAAACTTTTCCATTCATATACAGATAAAAAGCTGCAGAACAGAAAATAACATTTGTCTTGTTGGAGGTTTACAGGAACACTGTGACTGGACCTATCTATGTGGACAGCTGCAAGAACAAAGGATTCCGGCACTAAGAAGTTTGCAACAACCAACAACACCCCTCCCCTTTTAGTATAAAAGAAGTCTGAATTCTAACTCAGGTAAGATGGTTCTTTGGGACACTAGTACACCATCTTCTCGGTCTGCTGGCTTTCCAAATAAAGTCACTATTCCTTGCCTCAACAACTCGATTTATTGGCCTGTCATGTGGTGAGCAGTATGAGCTTGGACTCAGTACCATAAGGATGTCAAATTTGTTTTTAAATTAGACTTGAAGAGGGCTTCCCTGGTGCTGCAGTGGTTAAGAATCCGCCTGCCAATTCAGGGGACATGGGTTCGAGCCCTGGCCCGGGAAGATCCCACATACCGCGGAGCAACTAAGCCCGTGCGCCACAACTACTGAGCCTGAGCTCTAGAGCCCGCAGCCA